GTTCTCAAGGGAGCCCCCCCCCCCCCCCCCCCCCCCCCAATTTTAATATTAAATAGAGCATGCATAACATATTTTCCTGAGAAATTTTAACTTAATCTCTGAGTTCCAAAGTTTATCAGTGTACAAACTGCTCACATAAATTGCTGAATGACCAGAATATTTTCAGTAATTGCCTTTGGGAATACTTTTATCTTAAATATTTATAGGAATCAGGGAAAAAAAAAATCCATAATTGCTAGGTATGGCTGCTTCACAAACACCACAGGACTTCTTGCTGTTTGATGGAGCAGATGCAGTGAATGACTTTTCCTTGTGAGAGTAGTTCTACCAGTACGTGTGTCCTCCACTGTACAAGAAAACTTACAAATGGGTCCTCTCCAGGTTAGCAAATTTTGTATTCTAAATAATTTAAGTGTGAATGTGGAACATTCATATACATCAGATATTAGGAAGAAGGTCTTTACTGTGAGGCTGTTGAGGCTCTGGCACAGGTTGCCCAGAGAAGCTGTGGCTGCCCCATTCCTGGCAGTGTTCAAGGCCAGGTTGGACATGGCTTTGAGAAACCTGATCTCGTGGAAGGTGTCCCTGCCCGTGGCAGGGGGAGTTAAAACTGGATGATCTTTAAGGTCCCTTCCAACCCAAGACGTTTATGATTCTATGATTTAGATTAAACACCTGCTCATGGAATCATTACCACTCCATTACTGGTCAGCTCAGCACAGCCACTGTATTTCTGAAGCATTAGCAGCATCTAGCGGCCGAGTTCAGCAATTCCCCAGGTAAAAGTGGTTTATCCACCCGTGTGCACTCCAATGACAGGCTGAAGTGTCACGTTGCAAATTACTACTGCTTCCCCAAAGGGAGGAGAATCCAGCCCTCCCTGCAGGAGCTTCTGAACTCCTCACTGCTTCTGAATCCCTCACTGATCTACAGCAGAAATACCTACTTACTCCCTGCTGCCCCACATACAAAACATGAACAATTTTGAGAGCTAACAGGTTAAAGCGGGTCCTTTCTCAGGCATTTAAGCATTCTTCTTAACATGAAGTAGAAAAATTGGGTTTACGTAAAGTTGCTCGTTCTTAACAGACTAGTCATGCTTAGCACATGATCCAGAGGCAAGATTGACACACTGCCAAGGCAGACACCCTGCCCAGCTTTTCAGCATTTCAGGAGCACCATACCAACTCCCACAGGGGCCCTCGAGGTGTAATGCACACAGCCCATGGTTGCCATCTCAGTGCACTCTGTCACATGGTGAAGGATGGAAGAGGCAAAGAATCGGAAGTTATACACGGCCCGAGGGATGTCCACTGTTCTAGCAAATGTAATAGTTTTTCCTGAAACAATAAAAGAAGTACACTGCTGTGTTATCATGGGCATAAACAGCACTTTAAACTCTGTTCTGAAAACCAATTTGCTTGGTTTTTAGGAAATGTCTTTTGTCGTGTGCCCAAGTAATCCCCAGCACAGTGCAAGCATAGTCAGTGTCCACAGCTTCTCTGATGTACTACATTCCAAATATCCAACAGCTGAAGTCAAAGTCAGCAGTTCTGAAAAGCAAGAATAGGCCAGGAATCCAAAATCAATGACTTCTGAAAAGTTCATGCACATCAACTCCAGTTTGCTCTGACAGTTCATACCATACTAAAAATTTGGACCATACCCGCCACTTCAATATTGAACAAGACATGCTATATTTAAGAACAACAGTTCCAATTTTTACCCTGGTCCTTTGACTCTGCTTGTGCAAAAGCTTCCAGGTCATGTTCAATCAGGTCTGCCAATTTGTTCAGGATCTGAGATCTTTCCAATGGACTTTTTGAGGACCAAATTGGGAACGCATCTTTGGCAGCTTTGACAGCAGCTTCCACCTAAAGAAGCAAAAGATGGATGGTGACTGCTAATGAAAGGCCTTAGAAAGAATAGCAAACAATCAGCAGATGAATTCGTATTTGGGAGGATAATAATCCAGATCACATTACTGGAAAGACTGCATCTCTTCAGAGTTGTGACTATTGATAGCTTCTCCATTTTCATTTTCTTGGGACACTACCCCATAACTCAAGAAGCGTTACTGAAATAGAGCATCTAGAAAAGAAACTGCCACTGTAACTCTTGCTTTTCTCTAAATTCCAGGAACTAGTGGGCAACTCTCCCGGGCTGGAGGAAATGCCAGACTCATCAGTTATCATCAGGCAAGTGCCACTGGCCAAACACCCACGCAGAATCTTGTTTCTCATGGGGAAAATGCAAGAATCTCCCAAATCAAATGCAGCCTTAATCTAAACGTCCACAGTTTTCAACACAGGACTTCAGCCACACCAGGCAATGATTAAAGTAAGGGGTTGGGGAAGAAATGAACTGTATGGCTTGCTAGCCTTTGATTTCCAATTCCTTTTTCAAAGGCTGGTTCAAGCAAGTTCTAAGAATATACTTGTAGAACAGCACTCAGAGAAAATATTTTCATCTTACCTGATCACAGCTAGAAACTCACTAATGCCCTCACAAAAAAACCCCAGCTCCTTTCTAAACTCTTGTGGTTTAGTCAGTTCTCTCATCAGGTATCTTATGAGGTCTACAAATGTTATCATTATACGCACCTATATAGATGCATACCAGTCTCCTAAGTATTTTGCCTGAGATGTCCATAACTGCTGCATGGTCCTTCAGCCTGACCTTGCTGAATAGTGGCAGATTACCAGCACTTTTCTGAAGCAGGCCAGGCTTCAAAGGGTTAAAGTTAACCAGAAAGCTTTCTCTCCCATAAGCCATTTCCTCTGGGCTCTTAAATGGAAGTTACCTGCATCTGTTGATTTGTAAGCAGCTCCTTTTTTATTTTTACCAGCCTCTCAGATTACTAAAGATGTTTCCAACATTCTTCCATACTTGAATTAACTACCCTATTTCCCAATGTTGGCTTCCTGTATATCTCTTCTTATTGCTTCCAATGTCCAATATAACCATCAAGGTGGGTTTTTAGCCAAAGCTGTTTTGGCTGCTTACCCATCATTTTTTGCTCCTAATTTTCTTCAACTTTTGGAAATCTTCCCAAGTCAATAACTAGGAGGATGCTGATGTAATATCAGTCAAATCATTCTGACCTCTCCTAATTTTGACATATTGCTGGTTCCTGTGTAGTCACTAAAGACTCCTTTCCACTGATTCCACAAAACTGAGTTCCAAATTCATTCCTTCACATTGTGATGGGTGTTATAGAAAAGCCATCACAAAATAATTTACAAACACTCCAATGCTGTTTTATTAAGAAGAGCACAAAAGCTTAAGTGGGTGAAAACCCCTTCCTCCCCATGCATATGAGAACTTATGGTCTCCCTAAAAATAAGGACCAGAGTTTGAGGGCCAGAATGACACTGGTATGGAGACCAACATAGGAAACAAACCAACTTGCACAAGGTCACACAGATCACTGGCCAAGCTCAGAACTGAACTCTTTCGACTGTATTGGGACAACCTACTACTCAGGTGCCGACCACTGGTGGGCTGTCAGTCACTGAATGGCTGGAGCAGGGCCAAAGCAGGCCTGGGAAAGGGGAACTGCAGCTTCTTGAACAAGTCAGGTGTGGATGGCACGTATATCCTGAAAAGGTGTACCGTCTGTTAAACCACACACCCTTTACTAATTCAGTTGTTCTTCCACCCTCCCGTCATTAGGTGCCATTGTGGTGCTGCTTCTCATCTGCCCTGTCCTCTGTGGCCATGTGTGCTTCAAGAGAGGGCTGATAAGAAGTTAAGGCTATCTGCATTGTTAACCCAGTGGGTTTGGGAGAAAGAAGATAATGTTGCATTTTCACAGACAGTAGAAAATTAGCAAAGGAAGGAATGAAGTGGCAGTAGACTGATTTTTAAAAAGAAAAAAGCAAGAGGAAAAAAAGGAGGGAGATTTATACAGAAAAAGGAAAAGAGCATGCAAAGGTTAATCAGTTAATTAGTTTGCCTAGCAAAAAGCAGCAAAGAAAGTCGAGCCACAAAGAAAACACATGTAAGAATTCAACTATGAACTTGTGTGTCTGAAACACTTCCTTCTGCTTTCGTCTTCTGCACAAAACAGACACAGAGAAAGAACACACAATCCAGGCCTATTGTAAAAGGTTGATACTGAAATATCCCAAACTGCCCTCAGGACATGAATTTTGCTTTCCCAGGAGACGATGCACAGGAGCAAGGTTCTTTAAAGAGACATGTTTTTAAGGAGATACCTGCCAAGGACTAATTAGCCCTCACCAGTCTGTCATTTGGAGTCACAGGGCACCTGTTTGGCTTGCTTCAGGTGCTGCTATTTGGAATCTAAGACATCTAGCCAGGGAGAAAAATTAAAAAATCCTGAACATTTAGTGGTTTGGGCAGAAAATGGCTGAAATGGCCAATGACCTGGTGTTAAATTCCAGGGTCAGCAAGAGATTTGCTGTCTGCTTCTGTTCTGCCTTCTAACCTTCCACCAAAATTAACCAAGAAAAAAGTCCAACTGGACACTGAGCCTTGCTAGAAACCAGCATCCCAAGTACTCTGTTGAACCTGGGTCTATATGCTTAATTTGCTATCTCGACATACCCTATATATAGTACGTGATTGCATTTTCCCCTGCAGCATATTCCATCAGTCACCAGTGGACACCAGCTCTACAGAACCCAAATTTCTTGTACAGTTGTCTAAATGCAGGAGTAAAGCACTAGGTAACTTTACAGGTGTTTAAACCAGCTTCTTGCTGCTACACACAACCACCAACTCAAAAAGCTGAAAGAGCTATTGCTCTTTACTATATCTGAACCATATCTCCAGGATGGTCAGCAGCCTACTTCTGTTAGGCTGTTCTGGCATTCTCACATCTCTCTAGTTTCTATGATTTTTCAAATGAATAAACAGGAAGATTTGCACCTGCAGATCAAAGAGAAGTCTCTTCAGGCATAATTATGGCTGGAATGAACTTACACCAGTGTATTCTAGCAAATCCAGCCTGTTACTCTTTAACCCTTGGCCATCAGCATCTAGCAAATATTTACCCAGTTGAAATTACAGTGCAAAGTTTTCTGCTGAGAAAAGCAAAGACAAAAGATGTCAACAGGACTGAAATCCAAGTGAAGAGCTACACATAGTAGCAGTATTTTTAAAAAAGTTTTGAAAATATTTGTCAAAATCTTCCAATCCCCTTGTCTTATCCAAGCTTTTCCACTTGTTTCTCTCTTCAGTAAATTTGAAACGCTATGTTGGACATACTTGTAGGTCCCTTATAAAGCAGCATTAATGAAACTGCAGCTCCCCAGATGAATGTCACATTGCCTGTCCGCACCTGAACACATATAAGGTACCAGGAAACATTCATCTCACTGGAAAGCGTAGGGCTAGGAAACACTACACTGATGTGGAGGCTACATTATAAGGAAATATACACTCATCACAGCCACTTCATCACCTCACTTAATACCCAACTGCTAATACCAAAACCTGAGAGGTCTGGAAGCTGTTTACTATCTTCAGGGAAGAGTTAGCAAGCCAAAAATCCTTTTAAAAGACCACTGCAAATCATCAAGACTCTAAGGAAGAACATGGTTGTATATGATGCCTCCAAGTTATTTTACAAAAGAGATCAATAAAGCCTTTTCTCTCACAGAGATTGTTTACGCTTTACAGCTAGTCTAAGCGTTATCGTTAACTTTTGTACAAGCCATCTCCCATGCGAGCTGAAGGAGCTCCACTGAAGCTGTGTTGATCTACACCAGCCTGGGATCCAGCCTGTAACTTTCTAACAGCAAATCATAAAAAAAAATAACAGTAGTTGCTGCTGCTGCAGGAAGATTACACAGCCCTACAATGTAGCTAAGAACTTACCCATCTAAGCATTAAAGTCTTCAGCATTTGTTTGTTCTCTCACCTTCAGTCTCTCCCACACAAAATATTAACGTGATGTGCATTTAACATTTTCAGTTCTTTGCATATTTGGATAGTACTCACCTCTTCTTTGCCACTGTCCGGCACCCTGCAATAGACATCTCCAGTGGACGGATTATAGGAGTCGATGTAGGAGGAACAAGGAACAAATTTGCCACCTATAAAGTTTTCCAGCACCAAGAAATTCTTTGAATGAGCCATCGTTAGCCACTTGCTTAATCTGTGATTTTTTTTCTGCAAGGCATTAATTTAGATTAGCAGGTCTGTGCATATTTGCACAGCAAGTCTGAACTCCTCCCCCTCTCTCTCCGTTTTCCCTGCACTGCTTGCTCACAGGGGGAAAAATCCCTGGCAACAGCAGAAAAAGGGGGTGGGGGTGGGAAATTACTATTTCTGCGACACTCAGCTCTTTTATAGGAGTTGAAGCAGGGAGGCAGGACCAACTTAGTTGTTACAAAACAACTCCTCTTTGTCTATAGGAAATAAAGTACTAAAGAAGGGGAGAAAAAGAGTAATTTGACAGGGAAATTTCTACCTATGCAGTTTTTCAAGCTACAGTCTGAAGACATTTTGCTTCAACTATACAAAATAATTCAACATGCAAACACCAAGCCAGGCACCTGCTCCTTACCATCAGCAGACACAGAGGAGAGACACCTAGACTAGCACATCTGCAGCTCATGTTCACTGCTTGTCATCGTCAATACTTTTCCTTGTAATCCCAAAAACAATGCTTCTGCTAAACCCAAATATTTTAAACATAAGAAAGTCTCTTTTTTCCACCAGTATCCCCAAACATCAAACAATAAAAGCAGCTGAGTGGCCCTTCAACTCAGAAGAGTTGAGAAGCGCAATTTTGCATGGTACACTCTGTTTTAGGTTGTCAGACACCCAGTTTTTAAAAAAGCAGCAAGACAACAGCTTTTCTGCTTTCCCTTCCGTATATATTCCAGTGGAAGTTACCTTACTATAGAGAAACTTGTTATGTATAATTAAGTTTTTCTCTAACTTCCCAAGAACCTGCCCATAAGAGCTGTATGAAAGTCATTTTTCTCCAATAGAGAATGCTTATGAGTATCAAACTGCTCTAAGATTGCATCCCAACTTCTTGCACTCCAGAGATATTCTACATTCATATTAGACAGCAGTGAGTTGCCACCAGGAGATTGTGAGTACTTCAGTCGGCAGTTTATAAAGTTTTTTGCACCCTATACCACTGCCAAGCCATCATGTTTCTTGTGGATTAACGTGCAAATGTATTTGGATTGAACAACGGTGATACATTTTTGTTGCACAACAGATCATTTATGCATCAACCAATTGGTGCCTCTGGGCAGAGTTCAAATCAGTGCTGAAAGGTAGTGAAATTGGAATAGGTAATACTGAAATTGGAATAGGTGATACCTCCGGCTCTCCCAAGTTACAGACTGGGAAAGCACGAAGTAGCTTTTCTCTTGTCACGGAATACCAAGTCTCAAAATTTTATGTAAGAAGGGTTGTCGGGTCCATTCTGTATCACACTTACTTATCCACAAACAGCAAAGAATTTACGGAAGTCTTAAAACTGAAGACACATTTCTTCTGCCTGTAGCACTTCAGCTGTCCCCTGACTTAAAGACAACCTAAGCATTTTCAAGGTTTTAAGGCAAATTCAAGTGGAACAGCTTCAGCATAGGAGGTTGGCAATACAAATCTCTGGAATCCAACAAGTGCACTGAAACCTTTGCAGCTGGCATGTTGAAACTGGTTAAGTATTTTGGTTAAGTATTTAAATCCAATGTCTTGACTATAAAAAACCCCAATAAATAGTGATAATTCATAAGCTTCAGTTTTGGCAATAAGAGTTTTCAGGTATTTCAGATTAGTAAGATTTTACTGAAGTCATTTCCACATAAAGCATTGCTGCTACTTCTATAATGTGCATGCGGTCAACAGTACAATTTATCTACGTGGTCAAGTGCAGCTATCTGCTGAATCAGGGCTAAAACAAGTAAGTGCAAAAAAAGGCACCTACCAAAAAAAGGCACGTGGGAAGAGTAGGTACAGATTGTACATGACTGAACTAAGTAACCATCATAGACTTTTTGTATTTTTCACTACAGAGGGCACAGCTTTACTTCAGTCACCTCCAGTGACTGATGTTTTGGACCATTTACTCCTTCCCCACACTACTAACTGTGGTCAAAGAGGAGTTGTCTTCACCCTGCACCTGCATACAGGTTCTGAAATATCTGAGCTCCTCTCACACTTCCCAGAGAGAAAAAGTCTTCCAAGCTGTAGTAAAGGGTGTCTGTCCTGAGCTTATGCTGGAGGTGGCAGAAACGTCCTCTTTTCAGCTGGGACATTTCACTTGCCTTATTACTGAAAAGCAAGAGGGAGTTACATGCTCAAGTAAGCACAACAATCTGGCTTTAGCATGTATCTCAAGAATAAACTGCCAGCTTTTGTTCAAAAGAGCACCAAGTCTGGATGAAAGAGATGTGTATGTGCAGTAGCTGCAGACTAACATGAGAAAAACTGAAGTTATTTCCACAGAAAGATAAGACACATGCCAGTTTCGCATTTTAACTCATCAGTTTACTCTGAAACTTCTGAGTTAGGGAAAGTAAAGAATGATTTAACACAATTTAACAGTGTTTAAATAACAAAAAAATGAAGGAGACAAGAATTATGCTCAGACACAGTTATTTTATTATTTCTACAGTTTAAAAAATAAAATTAGCCAATGTTGGCACAGCTTCCACTACACAGCAAAAGAAAACTTATGCTTTTTAAATAAATTTTGGGACAGGGAAAACAATCCCAAGATAATACTACAGGCCTTTCTCTTGAAACCAAAGTTAATAGTTGGGGTTTTTTTCCCTGAATATGTATTCAAATCAAACCTAAAAATATATTAGACCAATAAAGTTACTTTACTGAATTAATGTGCAGGGGGGAAAAAAAAAAAGCAAATCAAAGAAAATATGTAAACAATTTATGTCTGGAAGTAAGGAGTTTGTTTCATGATGATTCATCATCTTGTTCTCTAATTCAACTTTCTAAGATTTTTCCATCAAGCTCTCTAAGGACTAAATTCCACATGGAGAAACACATCAGATTCTTGAGATCGAGAAGTGCAACGTTAGCAGTTCCTTGTCAGTTGGCATCCTGTTATGCAGTGGGAATGCTCCCCAGACGTCTCACACAATCTGACTTTAGTCATCATCATCTTATCCCCAGTTAATTGCACTTGTTCCTTCAACTGAAGTAACTGTATTCTTAAACAGAAGTTTGAGCATCTGACTGCATTTTGGTTGGACGGTGAAAGTTCTTGCACCACTGTCATTCTTTAATCTAGAAATACAAACACATGGAAAAAAAACCATGGTGAAAAATGAAGTACTAAATGTAAAATGATCACAGCTTTTTTTCAATATGATCTAGTTAGCTGTGCAAGAAATAATTTCTTTTGTTCTGAAATTCTCTTGAACAAGATCACAAATACTAAAATAATCATTCCCAAGTAACAGAGTTTAGTCTCCAATTCCACAGGCACAGGGCATCATAGATGTAAATAGGACCCCATTCGCTTCAAGTGAAATTTATTGAAAAATGGGTGCAAGATTAAAGCCCTAATTCTGGATCCTATTTAAGACCAGGTAGATTGTTAAGAGCACTACATTAGAGCTCCATAAAGGCCAGAGCACAGCATTCCTATGCACAGGGAGAAGACAGAAATTCTTGTCCTAAAGTGCTGAAGTGCTCTCCCTCAGGCCTAGAATTAGAAGTTATATGCTAAGCCAAAAATCATAGCGAGATTTTGGTAAAGCAATAGAGGATCAATATTTTTTGATCCTAATAGGAGGCAAAACATTTCTCTTTAGCCTCACAGCCTTTGCTTCCTCTCACAGGCATCAGTAAGACTCAAATGCACAACTGTCTTTAATGCTAAAAGAAAAAGACCTGGGACCCAAACTAGCCACAGTAAAATTGACCAACACTTCTTATCTACAAACTACTTCTGGTATATTTATACAGACTAGAGTGATGTATGTTAAAATAGTTAAGGTTTATTTTTTAAACTCAAGAGGAAGGAAAATATACAATATCTAACAATTTAAACTGAGTCATTTTTGCTCCTGATAAATTGAACAGAACTGTGGCAAGTTTTCGTCACGTCCTGCCGAAGCACTGTCTTTTTCGGCAGAATTCACTTTTTAGACCAAAGGGTGTAAAACAGGTCTTAACCATAAAAACGGAATGTTATGTGAAAATTAACACCTTTCTTTTATACAACAGAAAGTCTGCTACAAAAATGCCATACCTCTGTGACAACTCCTGCAGCAATAGTGGAACCACTGTAGCGTAACATAAACCTCCCAAGTTCTTTAAAATCCTTATACAACTCTAGAGCAACAGGTCTTTGAGTCTGTAGTTCTATTAGAGCATTCTGTCCTTTAGACAAGAATCTACAGATAAATAAGCAGAAAACTCTATTATATGCATGAATTAAAAAGAGAACAGTGAATAAATTAAAAGAAAAATAAAATTAAAAAGCCAAAAGTATAATGATCAAGTTTGATGTCAAGCCACCAGACTGAAAACTCATTTGCCTGGAGCATATCTTTTAAAAAGACATCTAAGTTTTCTTTAAAAGCTTCTGGAGAAGGGCATCCACAACATTTAGCAAATCATTTTAAAGTTAATCATCTCATTTAATACCTGGGTTTTTTTTCATGTCCTGTAGAAATCAAGCCCTGTTTCAAAAGCAAGAGCCAGTACATTGCTCTGCAGTCATGATTTTTCTTCCCATCACCTTTCAGCAAGTTTCAGCCACGCAAAAGGATTATTCTGACAACACTGTATGTCTCAGATAGCATTTCGACCCAAATACAGCTTTAAACAAATAAAGGGATGTTCCCATAGTTTAACTTGTATGGGAAGACTCCCTAAATCTGATTTTCTCTGATCCACTGTCTAGTTGAGTTTATTTCAGATGGTAACCCTTCTCCAGAATTATACCAAGGATCCCATGCTATTACAGCAAGGAAAGAGATAATGTGAAAAAATAAGCATGTTACCAAATGTAGGTGATGTAGGATTCACTACAAATTCTGCAAGTGACCTTGGGCAAGTCATTTTACCTCCCAGGTGCTTTGCATTTACCACATCGTTAGGAGTTTTTTCACATTGTAAAGCACTCTAAAATCTAAACATGAAACCAGCTAAAACAATGAAAGCATATTCTTATAAACACATCATTGTTTCATAATAGAACATGCTCTGTGTGTATACACATATACTAATCATAAGAGCCCATATTTCTTAAATAATTAACTATTCAAAATAAACACTTACTTAGGTTTACTCTTTGTCACTTCACCAGTGCTTTTGTGCAGAACACTCAACAGTCTTCTAATAGTAGCAGGTTCACTTACAGTTTGATAGTGTAAAAGCACCTGAAAATATTTTTTTCTGTTATTAAACATTCTACAAATATCAGAAATCCCAGGTGTTAATACTTGAAAACTTCAACTTCTTTTAAGACTCATTTTTTGAACAAATGCTTATAAAGCTTCTCTTACAGGAGTCTCCGATTCACAATCAGTAACCATTCCTAGTTCCTAAACTTTGTGATGTCTACAGATATGACACAAAGATCATTAATTCATCATAAACACATTGTTCATTCTTAAGTGTTTCGGTTTTGCCACTTCAGTGCAGTACCGCAGCATGAACTGGTACTTTATTTATTTTTAAAGGTATCTTACAACTAAGTTCATCATTAAAAGGACAGCCTAACCTGTCTGGTGGAACTCACATTCTCTGAAATCGCAAAGCTATGCACTAAAAGCCAGTAAAAATATGCATAAGCAGCCACAACAGCCCCTTTCATCCTCTTCAAAACACAGACAAACCCGTTTCCTCTGAAGAGATGGAACCCCTTCTAGATGCTAAATGATTCCCATATTCGGGGATTGGACATGGAGAGGAAAAGCCCTGAGCAACCTGTAATGAACATAGGAACTTTCACAGACACTTACGGGAAATCCTTTAGTGATTGGAACCTCAATATTGAAGATGAGAACCCGAGCTCTGAAACGAGTGCAAACTTTAATGGGTTCCTTGGGATCACAATATACACAGCCAACACTACAAGAGAGGTGAACAAAAGAAACTGATATATATCTTGACATACAAAAGTTAATCGCTGCACTGGAAAAAGACAGGTACTTAAGACAAGTAAAGCAAAGACAACACCACTTCAGTATAACCTGAGGGAGGGGGGAAAGAAAACAAAACCAAAACACAAAACCACCAATCAGAAACACCATATCAAAGCCTGTAATGAAATTAATTCCTAGACAATGTCTACAGTATTTTGTGGGTATGCATGAGGAGGTCTGTCTAGTTCAGTGAACAATTACAACCATTGCTAATCAGTTTCTAAAAATGTCAGTGTTTCCTGTGCGTAGGTACTCTGAAGAATTAGACTTTCATTCAGAGATTAATTGTTCCAGAGCAACAGCATAAAATACTGCAGGGTGCCCAACGTTGCAGCGCTGCTGCCTGTAACTCAACTATTTTGTGCATAAAGAGACATTGTGATCAGGACTCTCAAAACTTAAGCTCTCAGCAGCATTCATTTCCAAAAAACTCTACATGGAGTCACAAGAAAAGCTACTGCTCTTTACAAGTCAGTAAAGTAGACTAGACATAGCTTTTCCAAAGTAGCTAGTTTCAGCCTTCTAAAATGAAAGGAAAATTAATCCCATCCAGAAAAACATGACTGAAGAGAATAAACAGCATGATTAAACATATACATCAGATGCAATCAAATTTCATGTCTATCAAGAGGACTTAAAACTTCCTACCTTTTCTTGACAAATCTAACATCTCCAAAAGATGAATGACATCAAGGTAATGAATTGACTCAAGCCTTCATTCAGCAAGTAGAACAAGACTTCTCCCCACCTCCCCAACCCCCCCCGCATTTACCACAAAGAACCACACCCCATTACAAAATGGCAATACAGAAAATCCTGAATTTTTCCCTTAAACATAGAGCATAATTTTGCAAAACTACCAATGCAAGGATTTTTTTCAAACAGTAGATTGAAAGTTTACTCTCTGAAGTCCACATGGAACGTAAAAAAGGTGAATGAATTATGGGTCCAACTTCCTAACTTGAAAAAAAAACTGACACCTAAAAGCTTGAGGCTAAATCTTAGCATGAAACCTATTGACTGAAACAGACACCAAGAGATTTGCTGTGTCTCACTGAATGTATCAGACCCCCCCAAAAAAGAGGCAGTAAAACATGTACCAAAAGAAATGTTACGAGCAGCTAAATGTGTTGAATAAACAGTTTCCATCAATTCCACTTGTCCAGATTTACTTATTGGTATGCAACAGCAGTTTTCAATATGTTTTGTAAGATTCAATAAGCTTTTCAAAAATCTTTTGTTTTATTTAGCAACAAGGATTTACTTAATACAGCCATTAAAATGTCCAAGGACAAGTCTTAAAGTTGCCAAGACTTTGAAGGTTACTAGTGTCAGCACTAGGGCAAAGTATGAAAACTAACAGTATTCTTCTGAGGTAGCCGTTGCACATGTAGCAGATGTTTCTAACGTTTGTTCACGCAAGCCAGGTGATAGGCATCACTTTGGTTTTAAATATCCTGGTAGCCACATCATTCTTCAAGTAAACCACTGATTGTTAAGTGTAATAGTTATATAGCTTTTCATTAAAAACAAACCGTTACTTAGACTGAAACCCAGTTCTGCTCACTTGATTTTGATGATATCCATGCCGGTCAAAGTGAGAGTAACGTGATCTCCTGCTGCAGCCCAATCAACTGGTTCATCATGCAGTGTGATTCCTGGAAATGAGTAAGAACAGAACCTCACAGTGAAGTACCTAGGTTCTGAGCTACAAACAAACAGCTCTGTTTGGGCCATTTGTGCTTCATCAACCATTACTCATCAATTTTCAGTATGAATGGGTTGAGAGTAAAAGCTTTTTAACTGAGAAGACTGATGAAGCCTTTTTCCCCCCCTTTGGTGAGATCTCACTTATTCTCTCACCCCACCCTGCACGACAACATGGCTTTATTTAAGCCAGTGGAGGGGACCTGGCACTTGTCACAGAGTGGAGATGACGCAGTCCCGAAAATGCTGTAGTACTAAGTATCTCCATATCTGCCCCACCCATCCTTTGAGGCACACGCACACCCTAGACCGCATCTTTCATGTACTTTAATGGTACTGTGTCAACTTTCATTTACCTTAAGTAGGTTTGCTGACTCTTTCATAAAAAAAAAAAGCATAACTGATGTCTTTCGTTCACAACGTCGCGTCTATTCGAAAGCACCTTTGAAAGTAACTATGTTCCGATTTTGATGTATTTTAACCTGCTTTATAAGAAAACCTGGCTGGTGGGTAAGGACAAAACTAAGTGCTCTTGAACTAACATTCTGAGGTTTCTTGTAGACGCCAAAAAAGAAATTTAAATAAGCTCACTTTTTATGAATACTGCATACTGTAATAGGATCTAGTTCTATTTCACTACAAATTGCATTTACTGATCTGCAAACCTGCTCCCAAAACCACGTGTCAAAAGCATGCCAGAAAGCATTATTCGACTACATTCAGTACTGGTTTTTTAAGCAGGGGATACAAAATAGATCTTTTCAATGCTATTTCCTCCACTTGCAGAACAGGAGTGACTACAGTGGTCTGATACCCATGATTTACCCATGTAACTGTAACATTCCTGTGCACATGAACAATATGCATACAACTGTATAAACAGGCACAATAAAGAGCTTCCCAAATGAGCACTGAACAAGCTGGTCCTGAAATAAAGCAGGACAGTCAAACCAGCATACTGTGTAATTCGGGATATATAGTTAGATACAGAAACCTATTCACTCATTTTGAAGACTTAATTTTCTTATTCGTTGGTCAATGTAGGAAAATAATAATTTTATCTTTCTGTTTGCATATGAAATAAAAACAACTCTGTGGTACAAAGACAACAAGCTTAATTAGGAAACAGCTAAAAGTTTAATGTCTTGACTTAGCTATTCCTCTTTTCAGAAATCAAATGTATTGAAATTTAAATCCAATTTTTTTCTCTTTTGTAGTTTCTCAGGACAATTATATCCTGAAAGTCTGCATATTATGAAAGGATCAGTGACCAATCTCATGAACATCAAACAGCAGAGACTTAATTCTCAAGCTTTTTCACATCTAATTCATAAGATTAATTTCTAAAGGTTGTTCAACATCTTCACACTTCCTGACAGCAGTAATGCTCCACAGCAATGATTCCTGAACTGCGTATTATTATAAATATTGCTGGAACTCAGATGTTTTTTACAGGGTCTTCATAAAGCAATGTCAAAAGTCATGAGGCTGTAACATTTGGAGTAACTGATACAGCTCCCGCCTGATCAATTTGGTGGCCTTCTATGATGG